CTTGGAAGCAAGAATGGCCAGACTTCGTCTCACCTATTTTGGTCATGTTGCAAGAAGGGACCATTCCCTGGAGAAGGATTTCATGCTTGGTAGGGTGGAGGGTTGACGAAAGAGGGGGAGGCCTTCAACAAGATGGATTGACATGGTGGCTGCGATGATGGGCTCAAGTACAGCAGGGATTGTAGTGCTGGTGCGGGATTGGGCAGTGTTTCGTTCTGCTGTGCATGGGGTCACTATGAGTCAGAAACGACTCGACGGCATTTAACAACAACAACAACAGAGTAATAATATGAGGGAGAGATTATAAGTAGATACTGGTGATGCTTCACCTAAATCCTCTTCACTGGCCAGTGCACCCTTCCTCAGTGGCAGAAAGCAATGACCACTAAAGCTGACATTCCCTTGTGTTGAGAACTGTACCCTTTCACATGGTCACTCTCAGTCTTCAACCAATGACTGACTGGCTTCCCTGAGAGAACAGACTAAAGCTAGTCTCTAATTGAGACCACAGTCTCATTAAATTCTTTCCCATACCTTATTCTATTCTCCTCACTCCTTCACCTACAAGCACTCCCACAATATATCACTTGAACAGCAATCTAGTTTCAGTCTCTGCTTCCAGGTGGGAAAAAAAAAAAAAAAAGATGTGTTTATCCCATATTATTTGAGAAACCTGAAAGCCAAGTGATATTAACCAACTGCCTCTTGATCACACATATAGTAAGTATAGAGCCCAAATTTAAGCCTAATTTTTTTTTCTGCCATTAAGAACTATGTTTCTAATAACTTTTCAATATTTGTTTTATAGCCTTTGTACCCCTGACATTTAAATTAGAGTACTGACTTTGCAAGGTGGGAGATAAGTAATTTAGCTTTACCTGAAGTAATGTAGCCTTTGTCCTTGGTTCCTGAGAAATAACCATTGGAGTAATTGGGGTACCTTGTTGTGGGACTTCAAGGACATAACTATGGAATTGTTTTAGCATCTAGGGGCTGGACCAACAAGAAAAGGCTTCCTGGGGAGGTTGATACCAACTAGCCTCAGGAGACATGATTTAGCCTATCATTTAGGAACGCGAAACCATGGAGAGTTTGCTGGTCGGTGAAGGGGAGGTGATGATGTACCCTCTTGGAGACACGTGGGAACCCTTTGAGATATCATTCATGCGTGCATTTCTTCCTTGTGATGATCTTGATTAGTATCTTTTTGGGATAATAAAGTTATCATCATAAGTAGTATTGTACATG